TCTTGCTTTGTCTACCTCTGTTTTGCTCTGGTGCTGTTCAGGACCTGCCCAAAGTGGGTCCCTGGGGCCGGCCAAGGGCAGGCATGGAGGTGTCCCCTGTGGCGTAGCTGTGTGCGGTGACCTCCAGCCTGGCCTTGATTCCCACCTCTTGGCCGAAAGGACTCAGACGGGCTTTCCCCATCTGCCTCGGCCCCATGCGTTTGTTAAGCACAGTTTTTATGAGCTGCTCCCATTTTGGTACTACTTCAGGGCTCTCCTTCACAGCCCATACCACCCCCATTATTCATGTCTCCTTTACAAAAATGTGCTTGGCTCAAGCCGTAGGAGGCTTTTTAATGAAAATTAAATTACACACTTGAGCGTGATTCAGTCAGTAGAGATGGAAGTGATAGAATTTCAAGTTTGAAGTGACTTTCTATCATGTAACTTTTCTGTCCTAAACTAGCTCTCCTAGTCCCGCTACCTTCGATCCAAACGCCCACCACAGTACTCCATCATGCTACCATCGCTGCCTGCATCACACCCATTCAGCAGCTGCTTGTGTAGACCACGAGCTTTTAAATAAGACTTTTAAGATCATGTTATAGCCTGACTTCAGATGATCTGCAGAATGTCTTCAGATGTTAAATCCGTTTTCTGTCTGACTCAGACACAAACTAATTTTAAGTGACAGTTCATCAGGGAAGTATTTTATTATTTAATTACAGCCCCCCTCTCTTAAGTGGCTGTATTTCAAGCTGTGGTTTAGAAATATGTTTTTCTTCACTTTAAAATTATTATTGTATTCACATCTAAGAGTCACTGCCAAACACCACTTATTACATCTTAACATAAAAACACTTCTCCTAGTTGTCTCTCCTTAGCAGATGTCTATGCTGGAAAAAGGTTTTTGAAGTGTTACACTGATCTGCAGTGCTCATTACTATTTAGCCAACTGAGCTAGAAATACATGCCGATTTCACTAGCTGTATTCCCAGATCATAATTCAGCATCACCGTTTACCCGCTCCCTCATTTCCTGCAGCTCCTGACCCCCTCCCTCACAGTTTACGTGCAGGGCTGCGCTGTAAACCAAGTCAGTGAAATGTTTCACGTCAAACTCAAAAATCTGACAACATACTACTTATTTATTACATGTTTAAATTCAAACCACTTACTGATACAGGTCACTTCTGCTAGAAAGCTTTCCTGACACAAGGGTGGTGTTAGCAGAGGGTAGCATAGGACTGAAACGTCATAAATTAAAACTGGGAGATGTATCTATACCTTTAATTATTTCTTCCTTGTCCCTTCCTCCTTGCTTTATTCCTTCCATTTTGTCATCCTCCCTATCCCCCTCGACATGTTCCATGTGAAGCAAGTGCCACACTAAGCACATAACAGCACTACAGACACATTACAGACACTCTACTGAAAAAGTATTCAGTTTCAAGCTTCTACTAGGAATATTTACAGATACAGGATCCCAAAGATAACTCTAGTTTCTAGTCCTTTGAGCATCATGCATCTTTTTTGTTATTATTGTGCCAAAGGTTCATGGGTCAAATTTATTTAAATATACACTGCACTAAAGAACATTTTCCCAACTACATAAATTTATAAAAATAATATTAAATAAAACATTACAAGTGATAAAATGGTCATTTTACCCGGTTTTATTTTAGGTCACATACAATCTCTGGGAGTGTTTAGAAAAAACACACAAACAAACAAAAGGCTTAATTTTTTTTACTTCCTTTTCCCCCCTCCAAACCTTATTCTGAGATGGTGGGCTAGGTTCTGATTTCATTTATTCTACTCTAAATCAAGATTTCACAAACTTGTCTGCAAGTTACTGGGCAGGTGATTAAGGTGTGAATTTCAGAGTACTTTATCTTTTCTGCATCAGCTCCCCACGGTCATTCCTAGAGAGCAGCACAGTGGTTTTTTTGTGTTGGCTCACTGTCAAAGTTGAGCAAAACACACTGTGTTTGGCATGTGTTAAGAGTTCCTACAAAGGGAGCCGCAACCTGCCTCAGTGTAATGTGTTGCAAATTCATTCCTTGGCTTATTTCGGTAGAGACCAGCCCAAAGAGCTGCCACAGTAAGTGGAACGCCACTTCTGAACCCAGCACTTGTCAGATGGAAATCCCAGCCAAGTCTCGCTTAGAAACCTCCCCTCTAGCCCAGATTACTCTAGACACTGTGAAAAAATATGTATGTAAGACACAAGGATTTAAAATAGCTTAAAGTAAGGTCTGGAACCTAAAGTCTGCAGGCTGCTTATAGCCAAGCTTCATTTCACATGGACCACAAATTGTGCTGGCATGAGCATACCAGCTGGGAAAGATGCTAGGGTGGCCAACATCACCAACAGCAATTAATTACAAAGCCTTCCCACCCATGTTATAAAATTCATGTGGCCCACATTCCCCCTGGAGGGAAAATATTACCACAGCAAGGTCCCCACAGCAACAACACTCTAAAAATTACAGAGACTCTGAGACTATTGTGGAAGCACCACAAAATCTACCAAAAAGTTTCAATATTGGTAACCTCAGTATCACGACTTTCCCACCCCCCCATTCACATATTGCTGCTTTTCCCTTTCTTTCCCTCACCATTTAGATCTCTAACTCTATCAGGATTCCCTTCTGCCTTAAATCCCACATACACCATTAATGGAGTCATGGGATCCATTCAAATGGGATCCATTTAAAAAGATGCAGTGGGGCTGGGCCCTCACACTGTTACACTGATAATATAGAAAAGATATAAACAAAAGAACATGAAATTCATTCTCATAAATGGAGGCAGTTCTCACAATACAACAGCAATCTTCAAGAAATTTTCCACTACACATGTTGGAGATGCACTTTTTTTATTGGCTAGGCATTCAACCAAAACTAATTTTCCTTCAAGCAAAGACACTGATCCTCACTGAGTGATAATGTCAGTGCTACTTCAGACATTTCAAATTTCAGACTTTTTTGGGGGTTTTATGACTTAAGCATAAGAATTTTGAGACAGAAGTGGGTGGATGTTTTTGCCCACGTTTTTATGTTCAAATTACTTTAATTTTGAATTTTTCCTTCTTTAAAGGTAAGTGAACATAAAAGAGCACATTGTCTCATGGATCACCTCTCTGCACTGTTTTTCAGGGTATATCTGTTCAATTTTTTTCTATGCTTTAGATATGAAAAAACATAATTGAAAGTAGGATCACCTCACTTAACTTTAGAGACTTATAAGGGAAATATCTACAGCATTGGAGCTAGGCTCCCCTTGTAGTCCCCGAAGAAAACAGTCACAAGGCAAGATCTATACCCAATATTTCAGATGTTTCCCTAGGATGAGATGAATTACATTCTGAAGGTACTGCTTCCTCGACATTGACTACACTGTGCACTATAGATACCTACGTTTGTTCAAATCCCTGTCTCCTTCAATATATAGTTTTTCCTGGTCTACTTACAACCTGTCCATATAAATTTAAATGTTTTTGAAGCAAGGACTGTCTTCCTTCATATACATTTGCAACAAACACGACAACAGGATCATGACTGTGGCCTTTATTTGCTGCTGTAGTATGAAACATTAATTAACAATGGTAATGCAAATACCCTAAACAGATTAGTAACTACAGTCCATGGAAAACCAACGGTTTAAATAAGAACTATACTGGAAGCCTAGCTTAGGGGGGAAAAAAAAAAAAAAGAAAAAAGATTTTTCATAGCCATTGCATGCAACACAACTCTGAAAGGTCAGATATGGTGAGCAATCAAAAAGAAAGCTTTGTCCGGCTTACAGAGTCTCTCCTTGTTGTGGTTATGGACTCTGATCTGTTACAGCAGCAATAAATTTTGTTCATGGCCATTAGCTTCTACAAAGAAGGTGAAAGAGAGACAGACAACTATCATGCTGTCTCCAGTACTTTTAAAAAAAAAAAAAAGGAGAGGAAAAAAAAAGTCTTTTAACAAAGTTTGGGACAAGTGGAGCTCATCTGCAGCCAGCAAAGGCTTCCAGTTCCCCTGTTTGTTGAGGTTGGGCTACACTGCCTTTCCAGGTGACATCCTCTTTCCCAAGCTACTCTTTGCTTCAGAATTTGCCACGGAAAGGAGCCACCTATCAGTCATGCCATACATCAAATATTTCAGGCAAAACTTGGCTGTTTGGATGTTCTTACTAGGATCCTTCAAGAACTGTATATTCCCGTTGATCTCACTCATTCCAGCTACCAGGCTGGGGATTACCATGAGGAAAAAACTGAGATTCACCTAAGTACAAGAGCTTTTGTGCATGAAGGCTGTCCTTGGGGAACCAGATGCAGGTGGCTTCATAGTAAAGAGGATTACAGAACTTCTTCAAGCCCTCAGAGGCAGAAAGTAAAGCAAAACAGTGCAAGTTAGACTGCTGCACTTGTGTATAAAGAAGTGCAGCTCTTAAGACTAACCTGGAATTTGTAAAATATTATAACAACAGTTCTTCATACCACCAGGCATTAAAACTCCTGGAAACATCTGATACTCTGCTCACCAAGTAAAAATATAATTAATCAAATTATGTACATTTCAACCCTGACTGCATTGCCTACACTTTCTTCTGTATAGAACTACTGATGCACAGTTTAAAACCCCACTGCACACAATGATCTCTTCAGCATGCACAATTCTCACCTAAATGCAACGCTATTTCACCTGTATTCAGATTGACCTCTCTTCTCAGCCTAACTGCAATATTTTCAAAACAATATTACATTCCTTTGCAGGCTCTCTCTAATTGAATAAAACCTTCTCAAGTAAAACCAATTAAGTGGGTGATTTAGGTAGTTGTACAGATACAGCTTAATAAGTTCAATCAAATTACTACACTACACGTAAAAGCCAAATTTATATAAGTTTTTTTTTTCCACAAATGAATAAATGCTGAAAACATAATTTCAGAAAAACTTGCAAAGAAAAAAAAAAAGGGGGGGGGGGGATGGGGGGGGGGGGGGTGGTGGGTAATAGGAAAGTAAGGTAATTACCTATCTCCCTTTGGTTTTCTTTTTTGTACTGTCTTCCCTTTAGGTCGTCTTTCACTTCCTAAACAGGGGCTCCCACCAGGGCCTGTTACCCGTATTGATTCAAGGCCTTTGGAAGATTTCTTAAAAGTAAATTCCACTGGTTCTCCTTCTTTTAGGCTTCTAAATCCTTCCATGTAAAGCTTGCTCTGTAAACAGGAAAAATACTCTTGGTTACCATTGCCTTAGAAACAATATTTACATTCATAATCAGCAGGACAAATTATCCTGTCTACTATCCTGGAATACATACAGGTTGAGTAACAGTTTCCTCTGCGTGAGCTATAGCAGATGATACTACAAATTATAGTCCTGAATACACTGAAAACACTATTCAACACTAAACAAGTAACAAGAACCTGTTTTCAGTACCAACAAAACTGAAATAATATTTTCCTTTTCTGTGATGAATGCTATAGATATAAGCAGCAGAGAAAATGCTGTATTCCTAAAACCCCTGTCTAACAGGCATCGGGAACTGAAAAGGCTTTTTAACAAAATGGAGAGGAAATATTCACTTTGTAGCTAATTCATTTCTGATCACAATTATCTTAATCCATATTCCTTATATCTGGGGCATAGCTCTGCTCCTCTGAAAATGATATGAGCAAAAGAGGCAGGAGGAAGGCACTCTGAACAAAGTCCACTGAAATGGGTAATTCAGATATTCCTAGTGAGCTGCTAAATTTCTGTTCACTACCCCAAACATCTTATCTAGTTAGCATGATTTAGGTATGTATTTTCATTCACAGAAAAGGAACTTATTATCATCAGGGCAAGTGAAATAAATACTGATCAATCTTTTGATATTACATTGTAGCAGCAAAATCTGGCACAAAGCTGAAGTCAACAGGAGCTCTCCGTTGACTCTGATGCAATGAAAATTTTGATCTCAACTCCTAATAAATTATGTACAATGGTAAGTCTACATCACAAGACAAATCCGATTAATCAAACTCTTAAATAAAATTATCATCAAGTGAGACAATGGGGGAAGGGAGAGATAAAATGATACATTTATCTTAGAAGTTACACATTGCACGAATTAGATAAACTGGACTCAGAGAATATTACAAAATCCGTCCATTTCCAAACACTTGTAGTTTTTGCAGGAGAGTTATGAAACATGTCTTTTTCCTTTGCTCATGAACTCTTAATTGCAAAGAGAAAAATGTATCCTGACTGATTCTTACTCTGTTCTCCAGCATTAACTTGGCCGAACTGTGGAGTCAAGAAGGGAATCTGCTGCACGTGCCATCCCACTCAGTTACATGTCAGAAAGAGCCAAGCACCACTTGACTCTAAGCCACACCTATACTAGCCCGCAAGTGCAACTAGGGAACACGTTCAAATCAGATGGCAGTCCCTGACGTAGACTCCCTGTATGCAGCCTCCCAAGACACTGTTCTAGCAGAGCACAAGAATTGACAGGTACAGAGTTCATAGTTCATACACAAAGAGGGAGCTGGTCTCTTCACAAGGGTACACGGAGAACAGGTCAGGAGGCAGCAGGCCTGACTTGCTTCATGGGAAACCCCATCCAGATGTGAGGAGAAGTTGCTCAGTAAGAGAACAATTAAACAGAGAAGCCCAGAGAAGTCATGTAGTTCCCTGTGCTGGAAAACGCTAAGTCTTGATTTAACAGGGCCCTGAATAATCTAATCCAAAACCCTGCTTTCAGCAAAAGGTTGGACCAGACAATCTCAAGAGGTCCCTTCCAACCTAGATTTTTCTGTGATTCAGGTATCTTAATCTGGAGCTGAATCACACCCAGTCAGACCAGGAAACAGGATTCCAGTTCCTGGTTCTGCAGCATCTCGGGGGATCTGTGTCACTGAACTTCTACCTGTCTTTCTAAAGAGCGACACCATTGCAAAGTCCATTTCCCACTGCATTAATAGACTAAGCTAAACGTTATAAAATTATTTGGAACATTTATTTTAATGAAACCACGTGCACCTTTGCTTCCAAAAAATCCTGAGTACCGGACTAGCCGAATTCTCACAGTCTACCCAGTAGCACGCTCCACTGGTTAAGACAAAGGCTGGTTTTGTGCAGCTTTAGTACACGTGGTTCTTCCACCAAATGATGTAACAGTGTAAAGCATGACACAGTTGACTTTCTAGGTGAGAGGTTGAGCACTATTTAAAAAGGGGGAGGATGGTATAGGGGATGACACACATGAAAGAAGAGATATATAGTATCTGTTCCCATAAGCTTGGCTGTTTTTTGAAATTAAAACATAAGGTATGAAAAAGGAAATATGCAAATTTTCTCACTAATACAATTGGAAGACAGTAATTCTACATAAACCAATGAAACACACCACCAAGGAAGGCAATATTACTTCAAGCAAGCCGTCGACTTCGAAAGGTCTGTAAAGCAATATCAGGATCTTTGTCATAATGAAGAAACATCAAAGTTCAGAATATGCCCAAAGAAGACATCACCACTCATCAAATTAAACAACAGATTCTGCCTGTGGCATGAACCCATCCCTAAGTCCATCCACACCTCTTCAGTCTCCAGCAGCCCCCAGGGAAAATCTTGTTAAAAGAAAAGAACTGTACAACACACATTTTGTCCCAAACTAAACCATACAGTTAAATGCTCCAAAACTAGACAACCATGACAACACAGATGGGTTGCTAATCACAAAGCCCTTCAGAAGCACTGAACACAGCATGGATGCTTTTGTCTTTTTGTTTAATTACAACTTAATGAAGATATAGTTAAGTCTCAGCAAGACTTGGGCATTTTTCCTTTCTGAGTTTCACTGCCACAAAAAAAATGCCAAAAGGTTGACATCTGATATGCACACAATATTGTATCTCCTACTCTACTTCAAAAGAAAGAAGTACTTATTACAACCTAGAACAGGGCATTATTAGTACTTGAAACTGTTTTTATTTTCTTATTTCACTTTTAGCAACAGAACTTTTATTTCCAAACAAAGTACTATATTTACAAGAGGGATTTTTTAATATATTTAAAAGCCAATGCAATGGAACAATTATGCTTTCATAAATTGTGTATTATGCAAGTGTACTTTTTTTGCATGTTTGGTTTTTCAAGCACTTTTAACAACAGAAAATGTTGAAAAAAACCACTCCAAATCACTTGCACTGTACTCTCCTTGAACACATCGTAACAGCTTTTCAATGTTATAGATGGATTTGGTGCCATCTGACTTATTGTGTAAATGTATACTACTATGCTGTCAGCCAGCTCATGGTGAGATTCTCTGAGGGTGCAATAACAATTCAAAGTCATAGTGAAAAATGGCATGTAGAAACCAGCAAAACAAATCCAAAACCTGAATCCCTCTTAACTTGTCTGAAGAGTTGTACAAAAAATGTCTGTAAAGTCGGTAATTTAACGTTGAGAGACCTAGCTCAGTATTTTCCTCACATTACTTAAACAAATAAAACCTACACAATTAAAAGCAGCCAGAGTTTCAAGTCAGTGAACCATTTCTAGAGCCCTGAATGGGGTGTATGAGCACACTGCAAATGAACAAAGGCAAAAACTTAAAAGCAAAATGCTTTTCCTCCTTTCTCTCTCTTTCAGCTGTCAGAGACTTTGCTGTTATTTGTACCAGCAGTCAATACACTGATTTCAGACTAGAGCTTTTTTCTTTTTCTTTTTTTAAACTTGACAGTGTAACTTCTATTTTTTTAATAGGTATCCTATTATTTCTTGGTATTTTATCCTATATCATAGAGTCTAGCACATCTGTCACAAGCAATGGCTTGGTCCAAAATGCTGGCAACTTCATGCAACAACAAAAAATAAGACTGGAAAAATCCATGATCACAAGTTATTGGAAAGCATTTCCTACTATGAAACAAAAAACAAAATGTAATAAATATGAACTGTATTAGCAAGACAGTCCCAAAGAAAAGTACCATTTCCTGGGCAGTGCTTACAACTCTCACTGGGCTCTACGACAGAAAGGAAGTTTGGAATTAAGGCTCATTACAGGGGCCCAATGGCGATATGTGTGCATTACTTTTATTAACGTGTGGGGAGGAAGGGAGAGCAGGGTCCCAGTAAGCGCCCCCCTCACAACAACTTTGCCACTTCTAGCCAGGGCTGTGAGCAACTGCTGTTGCAGACACTACTTTTTTTTTTTTTTTTTTGGGGGGGGGAAGTTATTTGGTGGCATTCTGCTCAGATCGTTTATTTTCTGTATCTCTCATTTCTGCCCCTTTTTATCTAGTGATTGATTGATTGCTGGGTACAATGACCAGATGCCACCAGTATGCCGGGTTTCCCAAAGTAAGAAAACGTTTTTCCCTCCAAAATTATCTACAATTAAATCCAGACATGAAGGAAACCATATCCTGAAGCCCAACCACACTGAAGACCGTAAGAAATTCTCTGCAAAACAGCTTCATACAGTTCTGTCAAGAGCCAGCAACATTTGAGTAAAGCAAGAGTACAGAGTTAAGAGGACACAGAAGTAAAACAATTTACAATGGATCTATACTCATGCTCTTACCTGCACTAGGACAAAACCAGAACTAAACTGTTGTACACTGCAAAAGTCAGAGGAAGCACTGCAAAATAATATCAGTTGCGTGACAGAAGCCCTGCTGCAAAGACTTTTACTGTTCATCAAAAGATCATTTTAGAAGGTTTGTGAAGATCATATAATTTTGGAGACAGAATGCTAGAACAAACAAAAAAATCCACTACATTGAACAACAGACCCTCCAAGAGCAACACGTAGCTCTGCTGCACTAACACAGAACTCAGAAGCCAGGCACCCACACAAGACAACTTGCCATTTCTCCTACTGACCTCAAGGGGTTTTTCTTGCTCCTAGAGGCTTGTCTTGCACCAAATCTCGCACTTCTCAGTCCTCCCCATAAACCAATTTAACTCACTAATCTGACAGGAAACAAACTCAGTTTAAAAAGGGGTGGGAAGATAAGAGGAAGAGGAAACAGGGATAGATTTTTGCTTTTCCAGTGAGCTAAATCAGTTCACAGAAAGGTTCAATGAGCTCCAGGGCACACATAGTTGAATTGGCAACTTCCGAGATCAGAATGTGTTCCTTCATATTTTACGTAAAAAAGAAAAATCTACAATATCACAAATATTTTTTTAAAGCTCAACAAAATATGAATTTACTTTAAAAATA